CTTTCAGAAAAGTAGTAGCAGCCTACAGCCGGAGCACCCTTTCTCCACAGGCACCACCACCAAAAATGCATACAGGATGCAATGAAAGTGCTCTCTGTGAAACAATGCATTTCAAAGGTGAGATCCAAATACAGCTTTATTCAGAATTCCCAATCAGACAACCATTAGCCCGCCATTAGAAATACTCTTCTGTCAGCTTGAAAATCACTTAGCTGCACAAAAATCGCAGATCCATTACAGCTCAGAGATGTTTTACTTCATAAATGTTATGGTAATTGGAAGAAGATATGAAAAAAAAAGTCTTCCTAACATTAGCTTAATTTGTGTATTTAACAGAGCTTTGCAGATAATTAGCGTTATAGCTTTTCTTGTGCCATCATTTTCTCCCCTGATAAAAAGGGTCTTTCAGATATTAATAGTTGAACGTGAATTTTAATTAGCCTTTTTTTTTTAAGAAATATATATATTTTTTAATTAATCTGTTTACTGAAGTTGCCACGTCCTTCTAACTTCGTGCAAAGACATTTCTTTAACGGTGTAATATAAGAAAAGCACTTTTTCCAAAGCACAGATGCATCAAAAGAACAAAGGAGACATATGACATATTCTTAAATTGGTTATTCCAACACAGCACGCTCCTCTTACAGAAAACCCCTAAATCCATACCATGTTCTACTTTCTGGTTTGCGTTACTGACTAGTAGTTTAGATCTGAGAAGTAAAAATGTGTAGTTCTAGCTTCTAGAAGGCAAGATCCAATAAACTATAGTTACTTAAAAATTTAAACTTACCTTTATCTTCTTCAGTAATCACTTTATCTAATGCATACTCCACATCAAAAATGTAGCGGTAAAAGCAGAGTTGGGTGTACAGGGCCTTATCAGAATACTGTAATATAAGAAGACAGTAATTAAAAACCCCATTCCAAGAAAAGCGCATCTCTTGCAACCGTTTCTATGTCCAATATCAAAAAGAAATTTTTTTTGTGCTTTTCACACTGTATGTTCTGCTCATATCAGATTTTTATACTATTATTACACTGCAAAATCTCTTCATTACATGTCTCTATACACTTCTTCTCACAATTTAAACCAGGCATTTATGTAAATCATACTAAATTTATCCATTTTTATATACACATATTGCCCTATCACAGTGATGCTCTAGGAACAAAATGAAATCCATGAGAATGACAGGACAAGGGAGTAACTTATTCACAATACCTGAGTATACTGTACAATGGCATAATCTCAAAAAAGAAAAGGAATTAATACATACTTCTGATGAATACAGGTGTCTGTCTGTATTTCCTCCCCTCCATACACACACGCAGCTGTAGTTACATAAATTGTGAACATGCCATTCAAATAAGAACAGCTGCATATATACCTTTAAAGATTATGTCACTGTCTTGCTCTGCACATCTGTGAAGGCTACCGCATGTAAGTAATCGTACATTTGGTTCAAAAATCTGCAGGCGTGTACATGTGGAATATCATGTTCAATTAAATGCTCTGCGTGTCACTGATGTCAAGCCTCTGTGCTATTTCTCCAGTTCAGAAGTACATGCCTGTACGCAATTATATCGCGGTTGTCATTCTGTGTGTCAGAAAATTGCTTGGATAGACATGATAGTCCTACCTTGACCACTCTACAACTAAACCATTTCAAGTTAATCTGATGGAACTCTTGTTCAATAAAGCCACATTCAAGGCCCTGCTTGATACTGGGGCTCAAATATTGGCCAGATGAAGACTTGTGCTCTGAAAATCCCATAATTAAGAATGAAATAACCATAACTGCATCAAACATAGAAACACTGTCCATTTTAGTATGCTTCAGGGACATGCAGACACGTATGAACTCTTGAAGATTTTCTTGATGAGCTATAAAACCAACAAAGGTTGTGGTTAGATTAATGTTAAATTGCTGCTCAGTACACCACAAGGAATGAGACTGCAAATGCAGTGGAATAACAACTGGTAAACTACTTAGGCTTATTGGAATCCTGCTTTAACTTAGCTTTTCACTTTTCTACTCCATCAAGCCAAGTTTTGTTACTAAATTCAGCTAATCTTACACTTCTCCTGACACATTATAAAGTATCTATAACTATTAAGCAACTCATGTTGAGACATTTGACAACTATTACTACTGCTTAGGTTTTTTTTTTAATATTTTAACATACTTTTTTTCCACTTCATGTGAACCTATTTCAAAAAAAGACACACAGAAGCTTATTTTATTCCTTATTAGCTATTCTATGATATGCATCATCATTATACTATTATACACCAGTTATTTTTAGTAAATCCTGATTACTGCTTCCTGAAGAAGAAAAAAGGAGGACGACAGCGATTAAGTTATTTGTTTAGTTTTTTAGATCCAGCTGTAATTGCTGGTACACATCTCCCTGACTGCACACATGAAGCAGGTTGAATAGAACACTGAAATTACCTCCTTCATAATAGTTTGTTTTGATAATGTATTGTGTGTCGAGATGATGAGAAACAGTTGCTGTCAATTTGATTAGCCATTATATTTTTATGTTAATTGCCATTATTGGGTCCATTCTGTTTAGTGTCACCATAGAAGCCATACAATGTTAGCATAAATAACAAATTGGAGTAAATTAGGAAGATATATTTTTGCCAATTCATTTTAATTGCCCCTCAGTCCTTCCGTCGGTTAACGCAGCTGTTGACCCATAATAAGCGCTAGGTCAATATAGCTGCTTGTCAATTCAGAAATGCAAAGTGCTGTGTTGCTGGTAATGGATATACAACAACCTTTGCCAGCCAACTGAAGCAAACGAATGACAACCCACATGAAAGAATAAAGCATCAGCTATGGAGTTTAGTGACCTGATATTAGTAGGCAGGCTAATTGAAAGTCACTGCCTAAATGGATAAAGAAAATACAAAAAAAAAATAGCACGGAAAAATTTATACATGCACACATAGATATACATACAAATTATATATATTTATACACACACACAAATTTTTTTACTCATACTTTAAGCGTGATAACATCTCCTTCCTTTTAGCTTTCCGCTATGTTTCACAATTAGTAAGCTGGTGGAAAACAAAAGGTTCTGGACTTTTTCATAAAATTAAGCATGTATGAGGCGTACATATAAAGCCAAGGAAGAGACACCTTCAATTCATAAAAACCTGAGGAATGATTTATACCGTCACTTGCTATGTTTCCTTTAATTTCTAATAACCTATAGGTTAAAACAAAAAACAAAACAATCCTAAATTTCAAACCCAAGTAATCTTGTAGTTAATGGTGAACTTCTGTTCCTTCTTACCATAGGAGACTGAATTGTGAGGACATGAAAATAAAACTATTTTGAAGTTCTTTTGTATTGTTCCATGATGTTTGATTTCTTGATTTCATTAAGGACTGACTTCAGCAGGTAAGTCTGCGTCTTTTGACAGCTTCCATTCAGGGAAAGAACATTCTGCACCAAAGCAACCAAACAATTTTTTGTGTTTTATTTAGAAGAGCAACAAACAGGTACAGGAACCAAAGGTACCTGGTTTGCATTCATCACAGTTATTTACTCCTTTGACAGAAAATTACACGTGTAATGGAAAACTAACAGATGAGATTCAAAAAAATTAAAAAAAAAATCATCGCGCTTGGCCAGCAAGTATTCATTTAAGGAAATCTAGGTTTAATATGGTTCCAGACTCCTCTAGCTTCAACAGGCCAATTGTAAATCTTCAACGTGTCTTCGCAGGAAGAATTTAATATTACACAGTTCACGTAATAGGAAACTGATGATATCTTCTTAACAGAACAGGTGAATTACAAACACTAGCAAAACAATTTTTCCCATATTTTTCCATGAACGAGCACAAAAATAGGGTATAAAATGCTCAGTCATGAAAAAAGTCTTGCTCAGCTACCACACGTGCTAGGAAATGCTCGCTAGGGCATACGCGAGACAAATGCTCGCTAGGGCATACGCTAGGGCAAAGGAGACTCCACAGATACATTGCACTTCTGGAAATCCAGAACTTCAGCTATGCCTCTGCACGTGCCCAAATTCACCCAGGCTTGACAGCAACAAATAGCTTCGTTTTTATCCTTGTTCCTGCAGCTGTTGATGTTTGAACAAGCTACTGGACTGAAACGTAGACCTGTCTCTTCTGTCTCACAAGGCTCTGGAGTAAGGCTACCTTGCGTCCTCTCTGGCTCAGCAAACCTTGATGCATTTTTTCACATTGGCGCCAAATTTCAAACAGTGAACGGTCCTTACTCCCTCATTTCATAATAGCGTATAGTTAGCGAGTAGGGGGTTTTTCCAGAAGTAGCAGACCCAGGTTTGCAGCCCTTCTGGCCAGAACAGAGAACTGAACAACTTGGTTTTCCTAACGTTGCTCACAAAGTGGAGAACTATTGCCAGTGTCTACCCCTGCTCCTCTTTTTTTTTTTTTTTTTAAATGCCAAAGCTCACTCAGCTTTCTGAAAGCAAGAGGAGCTGGAAAGATTTAGTCATTAGTTTGTGTTCCTCCCACCCTGACAACAGCACGTGAAAAGAAGAACTTAAGATGCGCTTTCTCTTGTCAGCATTTTCTTCTCATCAGAAGAAAAGTTGTCAGCAGCTGCATTTAGGTCTTGAAATTAGAAGGACCTTCCCTTAGTGCTGGCTTTTTTGGATTACATCCCAAAGAATTTCAACTGAGAAGCCTAATTCTCCTCCATACTCCTAACAGGGAGCCAAGAGGCTGATGTGCTGACCTTTACAACCCATGAGACACTCAGTAATTAACTAAGGGCAGAATGGGGACGCGGAGGATTGAGGACTGCAGATAAGAAAGGTCTGAGAAAGGAAGAAAAGGGAAAAATAAACAGGAAAAAAAGTTGATGAAAATTCACAACAGCAAAGCAGCAAAAGACTGAACTAATGGCTGTAGCTCTGTCTTACTTCACCTAGATATAGTACTGTTCCATTAAACACAGTTGGAAGAGTATGTAAAAACTTTGTTTTGCTTTGTTTGCTTAAAAACAATGACGTATAGACTTGAATAGGTGCAAAAAGTAAAAACTCCTACTTAAAATAATTTTCTTTAAAGTGCTGTGGATTCCTGTATGAACCAAAACAAGATGTGATGGTCAGTGCTTTTTTGAAGACTCATACCCTTAAAAAGTAGGTTTAAGTTTTTTATTTACTCTTTGGGGGCATTTCCCAAATTACTGTACTCCTCCACAGTCCCACCATACTCATGAACCTTTTTTTTTTCAGCATCCTCATTTTCTGCTGCCTTTTTGCTTTCTTCTGCACCTGACTCATTCCCATTTCTTCTCTCTATTTCGTTGTTAGATGGCACTTTTGTGTTTTCAGGTGTGTCACCTATGGTTTTTATGAATGATAAGGCAATAGGAAATAAAAAAAAATCCCCCCCCACTTTGCAAACTCTAATAGACTGCTTTGCAAAGGAGATAATTTCCACAGGCTACAGAAGTTATTTGTATTACTTCAATTAATTGTAACACAAAACAGTGGCACCACTTCATTAATCAGCTGCTTGAGAGAGTTACTTTTGTGAGAAGTCTTTTTGGTAATTTGATTAGAAAGAACAGTAGCTCTTCTTCTTATTATTATTATATGATTCAGTTGTCCATCAAGCAAATTATTTAGGACAAGCTCTTAATACTATAAAAGGAAGAAAGAAAAAAAGAAAGAGAAAAAAAGTGTCTTGGCAGAAAATTGGATCTTAAGACATTTTCAAAGCTTACATGTAACTGAGCAAAGCATACAGGAAATACTTCAGTGCATTGAGAGGCATTTCCTCCCCTCCCCCAGTAGAAAGATGCAGTAATTAAAACCTAATTATTATCTTCATTTTAAACAAAACCTAAAGTGAATACCA